AGGCAAACACCCATAATTTGTCAAATTTCATCCTTAAAGCTTAAATGTCTGGGCTTAAAAACATATATACAATATATATTTATTTATGTAGCTTAAATATTTACTAGCAAATGTGGAAAAAAATTTCACTTAATTATTGCCATAGTAATTCTGAAATCACTAAAACTCTAACCAAAGTTATTGTTACTGATCTTTCAAAATTGGTGCTGCCAGTCATAAGTTCAGGATAGACTCTTTCTTGTTCTAAAATGTGACAGAATGCCTAAATATTTTTGATTTAGTCCAAAATGAAATATTTTATAAACTAGTTGACATGATGTTCTGAAAAAAATAAAGTAGAAAAGAAAATATGCTTATACTCAAGATATAATCCATAAAAGGATTTAGTTAAAGAATCTTTGAAACTTTTTTTTATTTATTATTTCACTCATGTTTGGAAAATGACTAGGACTGGAATTCCAAAACAATTTCTCCCTATTTCTTGGAACAGCCTTTCTCCTTTTGTCTTCATTACTCCCAATAATCCATTTATATGCTTGTAAAATCAGTATTGCCCAAATGATGTAATTGTTCTTCCTATACTGGTGTTGGAAGATAGCCATTTTAACTTGGCAAGAAGAAACTCTTATGAGGGAAGACGGAAAAATACTTAAAACAAAAATGGAGAAAGGAGAGAAGAAATCCTGTTGGGTAAAACCTGAAAAATGCAGTTGTTCTTACTGGCTGCAGGACAGATCCTGTTTTGTTTTTCGTTGGATGGACGGGGATTGCTGAAGATGTCTGTGGAACCCATTCTTTTCTCTCTCCATGACTGATCTAATAGGGAACCATCAAAACACGAATGTTCCTTCACGCATATCATTTTTAACCTCCTGTTTTTCAAGACTTTTATTGTTTTCTTTAACTACAAAGTCGAAAACAGTGTGCCTGTTATTTGAGCAAATTCTCACTACTAAGGAGTTTTTCAATATGGCGAACAGGCTTAAATTCACTGCAGTTTTTTAATTATTTTTTCTTAGCTAGACAATTTACGAATGAGATCTTCTGAAACTCTGATTACCAGAAAAAAAAAAATTGTTATTAAGTTCTAGCTTACAACTTTATACATAAAATGATTTGATCAAGTTCTCAATTATTTATTTGTGTGTGTATGTATATATATATATATATATATATATATATATATATATATATATATATATATATATATACACACTACAGTTCAAAAGTTTGCAGCAATCCCGGGTAATTTAAAAATTGAGACATGATTTTTTTTATTAGAAATTTTATTATGACAAAAAGAAAAAAAGCATTTTATGATTAAATTTTGCTCTTGACAAAATATCCTCCTTTAGCCTTGATTACCGCAGCACAAATGTTTTACATTCAATGCAAAAATTTCTCAAAGTATATGTTTGCTGATTGATTCCATTCTATTTTCAATGTGTCTAAGAACTTTCTTTCGCTTTTTTTTCACTACTCTGTAAAGATCATCCCATGCTAATTCTGGAGGTAGCTTCAAACATTTAAACAGTGGGGGGCACACACACACACACACACACACACACACACATATATATATATATATATATATATATTAAGCATACTTTGTGCTTATAGTCAGAGTAACCTAATCTCATCTGGAATAAATTTTCAATTTTTGATATTTTTAATAAAGCCAAGACATTTATTATTGTAAGTCTTTGTTTTTATTATTGCTCACTTAATGTTAATAGAATTTCCTACTTTACCCATATTGTCCAAAAATGATGGCTATATTTAAATAATTTTACAATTGCATTGGTTATGTTTTCTGTGTGATTAATCCTAGAAATTATAATTGGTGGGGGGGACCTAATAACTCAGATTGGAATGAAACACTTCACTCCAGTTTTAATATATCTGTACATCTAAATATTGGTCATATTTTATGCAGACATATCAAACAGTTTTTCACATCAAAAAGTTCTTTTTTTTCCTTAAAATTGTGGAAACAAAAACCTCTTATTCCTCATGTTTCCTGAACAGATTTCTATATTGTGTGATGGATCAACAATATATACCTATTTTTTTATATATCTAAAAGGCCTTTTCTCATCTTTATATTATCAAACTAATATTCTACAATTTTATTTGAACTACAGTTATTTTTCACCAAATCAGAGAGAAAACAAATAGTTATGTGTATTCAAGCTAGTACAGTTTTTCTTGCCTGTATCAATAGACTATTATATGCCTTTGCGTTCGGACTAGTATCCTCATTTTGATTCTTATGACATTTTGGCCATTGTGTTCAGCCTCCCTCAGGTGTCTGTTGTACCAAATAAACTTCTTTAAATTTTGCACTGAACTCTTTATTCAGTCCATGGGAATAGATTGTCTTAATTCTGCTTTCCATGTTTAGGGGATATTTCATATTAGTTAATATTCTCTCATCTGCTCATCTTGGTATCACTTGTCTGTTTCTTCCACTAAACCAGATTATGTGACTTTCCTGCGC